AAACTCAATGTACTAGAAAGCTCTAATGTACAACCACTTATTTTTAATCCTGATTCACATCATAGCACTGCCTGTTCAGCCAGGCAGGGCCTGCAGAGAGGGAGGGTCACTGTGTGCCAGGTCAGGAGCTATCACTAAACACATCTCTCTCAGCTGCAGGGAAACCTCAGACGGGGCACTCCAGGAGATTTGCTGCTGGTGCTGTTATTACTCACCATGAAATAGCTGCCAGTTTCCAATAATGGACAAATAAAAACAAAACAGGGATTTCATTGCCTCAGGAGGTAGCACCACAGGCAAAGGGATCAAAAAAGCCTGGACTCCTGTGGTTTTTTCAACAAGATTAAGCATCTCCACCATTTATCTGCTGTCTAATTTAACCTCTGTTAAGATGTGTTTGATAATATACCTCAAACCTACCTCTTTTCAGAACATTTTATTTGAACAACACTGACACCGTAATGCCTTTGTAAATTCAGCTGAAACCAGACAAAAATGACAGACTGAAAGACAAGTCAGCAGGTATGGGAGAACATGCTGTGATTGCAGAAATCTTGATGAAAGTCTCTGACTAAGGAGGAAGAAATATTCGTTTTAGAGACAAAATCAGGTGTAATAGCCTGCCATTCCATCAGCCAAGAACAAGAAAGAGGATCAAGAAAGACCTGAAAAGCCCAATCTTGCCCATTCTTTCTTTCTATACAGGACCAATTACATGGTCTTAGCCCTCAAAAGCACAGTTACCTACGTGCAGGCAGATGCACAACTCCAGCTGCTACAGCACAGGGACACTGCCTCTGCCCTGGTGCACAGGAAACCTGGTAGGGGACAAAATAATGGGCAATGTGCCACACATACAGTTTTTAGCAGCAGAAAATAGTAATGAAGTACAACTACAGGAGTGCAGCTGTCACAGTTTGTCACCAGGTAAAGGTGCAATCCATGTAGTTTGTTGTGAGCACTTAATCAGTTTCACTGGGCTGGCAGGATGGAGGCTACAAGGTGGGTTTTAAATCACTGCCATCTGCAAGTGCTACAAAATCTGAGTTGATTGCCACAAAAAACCCAACACTGTTTAATAACCTTTCTGCATATCATTACTGACACGTGGGCAATAACTGCTCTAGAAGTCCACAGAGCATCCCCTCCAGGGAAGGGGCCCTGAATCTCTTCTCACTGACCACTCAGGTGGCAACATTTCATGAAACTTTTCCTTCTTTATTTCTAGGTCACGTAGTGTACAAGGAGGTTTACTGTGTTGGTGTAGAGTGACAAAAGTAAAATTTAAATTTTACTTTTACTCTACACGGTTATAAACAGGCAGCAGCATTACAGAAAACAAGACACACACTTTCATGGTTCTCTGTAATCATGCATTAGAGGTGGCAGGAAACCCTTGCATACGATTTGTCCATGGCATGTGCTCAATGCAGTTCCCAGCACATCTGCACAACACGGCTAAAAACAGGAAAGACATTTGTGCTATACCTTCAGCTCCTCCCCAGCAGCCTACAAAACCGATTTGGAATTGTCCTGATCTTTGCATGACACCTGTGCTTATCAGCACTCTGGATAATCTTCCAATGCTGACATTTTTAAAGGCAAAACACACTTCCTTCAAAGCCAGGTTACTGTAAAATTCCTACAAACTGGTACCACGCAGTTTAAAAAGTAATACAGAACATGACAGAAAGTAGTGAGACCTAAAGAAGACATTGCCCAACTACATTAAAAGCACATTAAAAGTCAGATGATGGGGTGCCAGGCTACAGGAGGATGGGAACTCACACTGAGCCAGCTGCTTTGCAGTGAGGTGCCAACACACTCAGCCTCACCTTCCCCCTCCACCTGCCCCTCTTGCACAGCGGGGGCAGAACACCCCAGTTAGGGCATTCCACAAAGATCAGTTCATCTGTTCCCACAAGCTCACACACAATGATGGAGCTGCAAAGGAACCATGGCACTGCAGAGTGAAGTCACTGCTTTGTTAATACACCAGAAGTGTTCTGTGCCCTAGCACATCATCCTTCAGTGAACTGGTCAGCAACTACAAAGTGCAACTGCAGAGAAAATTAAGGTAATAAAATAGATCTGAGAGTTATAAAAAAGCAAGCCTTCAGTTCAAATAACTGATTTTATTGTTTTTAAACAGTTTATTTACTGCCTAATCATGAAATCCCTGACAAATAAGCAGTTCTACTAATTTAAAGGTTTGCATAAATAGGGATAGCTTGTCATTTAGTATAGTCAAGACTGAGTGAAGTACTACCTGCACAGAAAAATCATCAGTGCAACATCGTAACACAGACATGTTTTAAGCATGAAAAAACCTCTCAAAAATATCAATACACTTATTTTCCTCTGAGAAACTGAGGTGGTGCTTCTTTCAAATGAAGCTCCTCTTCTGTTACCAATATAGACCTGATTTTTAAAGCATCAATACTTTTTAATAGCAAATGATTGTACTTCTACATTCAAGATACAGCACGCTTTTTTCAGTGAATCTCAGTTTAAGATAGTCTATATTTAAATAATCTGTATATTACATATAAAAATACACATCTCTACCATAAATGAGGTCTTGTCTTCTTCTAAATGCCCAAGCCTTTTGGCCACCTGCCCTCGCCACAAGTCTTATTCATCTTAAGCTCTGACACATCAAGCAAATTCTTCTACTCAGAGAAGTACTTCCTCAACATACAGTCCTGGAACACAACTAAAATGCAACTCAAAACACATACATATAACTTTTCAAATGAGTGTTCAAAGAGTGTAGCTTAGAATTTAATTCAACTTGCTGATTGATGAATTCTTGACAATCAAGTCAGTAGCATAAGTTTAAACTTCCCCACTAAGTCTCAGAGTTCTGTGCATCTTCAATTAAGCTCACTTTAATTTCCAGTTCTTCCATTAACAGATGACTAGGGAACAGCTTACACTGATCAATTTACATTTCCAGTGCAAACACACCTGTTGATTTCCTTGTGCAGTCACAGCACAGGGATCTATTGAAGGCTGAATGTTCTCATATTGAGACATTAACAGGTAAATTTCCATTGCACTGCATTCTGATGCCCATTTCACAAAAGCAGTGCTAAATTTGTTTCCTCAAAAGTGAGCCTATCCATAACACTTAAGAGCACACTAAACAACATAATTAAAACTATTAATCTAAGTGGAGTTGTAAAACATTGCTCAAACTTTAGCATTGTTCAATTTATTTTAAATTTCCTTAGCCATAAAGGAAACCCATTACCTCATTAGGCTGGCAAATGAGTAATGCCTGAAAGCACGGCCTCAAGATGAACACACACCCACATTTCTTCCAACTGTTGTTCCAACCTGGGCAGAAGTTTACTAGCTCTGTTAGCAAGACAGTGTCCTCTTACTGTTAAATTCTTAAATTAATAAATTAAGGCTATTAATATGCATAGACTAAGGGCTACCATGGTGATAGAAGTCCTGGAAGGAGACCTCACCAGCTTCCACAATGGTTAGAGTACCTGGGTTTCTTGTACCAAGCTAGGCAGATATGCCTGTATTTTAAATGTTGAGCCTTTCTGTTCCAAAGCTTCCATCCATATTTTTTTTAAAAAAGTAAATATATAAGTTACTTCACGGTCATGCAAAGCATAAAGTCATTAAATTTTCTCATTAAAAGAAGGCAAAAATGCTCTCTTAGCTACTGGAATAAGAAGAACCTGAATATACTCTTGGTGAAACCAACCAAGGTGAACCTCAGAGTAATACTGTGGGGGGAAAAAAAATAGCAGCTACCTAATCAACTGTGCATACAAGTAATGAACTAGTATTACTGTTTCCAACATCTATGACACCTGAAGTCAGCTATCTAGAAACCCTCACAGGAATAGCGGAAATCTTAAAATTCAGAATTTCATTAAGTAACTTTTCTCTGGAGAGGCAAGCAGCAGGAGCCAGCACACAGCACCTGGGCTGTTTCTCAGTCTCTCTGTCCAACATCTATCCATTCTGGTAAAGAGATGCACAGATCCAGGCAGCGAGACCAAATACTGGATCCATGGATGATTTTTCTTTTATGCCTAAAGACATTCGTTTTAATGATAAAAATAGGCATGATAAAGAAATACTTGCCACTGTCTTAGAATCTACACCTTAAGGAGATATTTCAGAATAAATGAAGGGAATAAAGATTTCTCTGAGCATTCAAACATGTTCAAGTGAAAAAAAACTGTGTCTGAATTTCACAAGCTTCACAAATATCTGTTACTAAAACTGAACTATTTCAGAATTTGCATTGGCACAGTTTGAAACGGAAGGTATGAAAGAACTCATTCTCTAGGAAAAAAAATCATTTAAATTTAAAGCTTTGAGAGACCAGGTGTATGAAATTTAAAACAACTAGAAGCAGTACCATAAACAGAAAGTGATGCTCAGAATATAAGTAAAAAGAAAGAAATGCTAGAGAAACAGAATAAAATTGTGTCTATGCTGAGGTACAAATAGAAGGTTCTATAATACAGGATTAACTCTTTCAATGGCAAATACTTCACGCACAAAAATCTAACCGAGATTCACTTACAACATAATTCAAACTTTACATGTAATAAAGGCAAGGCAATACTCAGTTATGGCCTGTCAAATGTTTACCCCACTAACATTATCTACAAAAGCACTTTACCATTTTGTACACAGTGATTTCTTATGCACATTGAAAGGCTTTCTTTTAAAAAAGACATTATATACATATCTGTACACAATTCCAACAACCATGCTCCATCTCTCAGTGGAATTCTTAAAGCAAGATACCTGAGGTTTCTCAATATCTTCGATTTCTCTATCACAAACCTAAATATACATTTCAGATTTTACAAAAGGACACCTCCCTGGAATATGTGAATTATCATTTTAAAAAATTATAGCTTTAAGGAGCTGAAAAAGATTGCCTCCATCCAAGAGACTTCATTTTCACTCTTAGAATGTCCTTTCTCCCAAGGACTTTTCAGAGACTGAGAGGCAGAACAGCATTAGGGTGCACGCCTTCAGTGCAGACACCATGGGATCTCTGCTGTCTTGGGAAAGCCAGGAAGGAAGAGTATGTCAGTAGGATGAAGAACTTCCTCCAGCTAGGGAATATCTGAAGAGGAAAAGAAATAGTTACTGTTGCAACTTTTAGAAAGGTATTTCACAAGAAGCAGCAATGAAGTGATTCCATTTTATGCTGTTGAAGTTCTGGCCTTTTTCCTTACACAATGGCACTCACCACTGCCACCACACCTTAAAGGAAGAGCCTTGGAACTGAACAACCCTGTTAAGAGTATCACTGCTTTCCTAGCAAACAGCAACAACCTGTGCTCAAATGTGTTACTGAGCAGCACTAGATGATGGAAGAACATTTAGTGACTCCACTTTCCTACTCTGCAAGCTTACATCAAATCTTTTCAAAATATTACTGGGCCAGGACAACTCTGTCTCTTGATCTAAGCAGATTCTTAAATCATCCAAAGAAATAAGCACACCTTTTAATCACATTAGCTTTCCAGTAAACTTCACCAAACATCCAAAATCAAAACTGGAGGGGGAAGGTTACTGGATTCATGCACATTACTGGGCAGCTATTCTGAGGGTCCCAGTTAATTCATTCAGACAAGCTTACAAAATCCAGTTCTAACCAATCATAAGGGGGAGTGAAAATGTAATCAGAAACTTGTTGAAAACCTAACTTCAGTAATTAGCTATCAAATTGAGAGGGTATTATACTGAATGACCTAATGATGTAACAGAGCATACTTCTTGCAGCACTCAAACAAGAAGGAATTACTTTTTCAGCTCCAAAAAACAGGTTTATCCCCAAGTGAAACCTACTAAGCTATGGAATGATTCAAGCTCATTTTTAGTGGGAGTTCTTGCTATTCATTCTTTCACTCCCTTTCTGGAGTCATTATCCCATACTAGCTGGAACACAATCCCTGAAAAATAGAGAAAGTTCACCCAGATGTGATCCACTGACAAACATTCTCTATGAATAATTCTTTCTCTGCTAGAAAGAGAATGGAGTGCTTGCCTTCACTGCTCTAAGAACTGCTCTAAAAACACTAACAGTCCAAGGAAGCAGAACAGAAGGAAAGCAATGCTAAACAGGTATATAAAGGGTTCTGAAATCTTTCTCACAGGACAAAAATTATGAATGTTGTTGTCGTGACAGAACAAGTAAGATCACTTCCAGCATCCCCAAAAATGCCCATGTCTTGGCACTGTCTCCACATGGCCATTTTCAGCCTCAACTGCAGCATCAAGTTTTTGAGGTTTCCGGTTCCAGGAAGATCCTGTACCAGACTGATAAAAATACGACACTGAAATATTAGCTGATGAAAGACTGGATTCAATTTTGGAACCCCTAATGGAAACAACTGAGATGGAACCTTCAGCAGCTCTTTCAAGTCTGCCAGGACCAAATGAGACAGGACAGGACATCTGGCATTAGAAGTAACCTTTCAGCACTAGAGATGCTGAGTGGGCTTCATTCTTAACAGCCCATAAAGCAACAAACATGATTGCCTGCAAGTTTCTTGGCATTGGTTTTTACCGAAGGAGAAAGGGTCAGCCTGGAAATCCTGTGCTTCAACCTCAAAGCTGTGAATTCCTAAACTTTACCAAGCTGTGGTTAGAGACAGTGTAAGGGAGACACCTGCTTAGGGTGATCTTTTTCCATGTAGTGGTCCATGATTAATCACTGACATGAGTTTTTTCTAGTACCAAGCAATCCAATCTGGCTGCTGTGAGATTCACACCAGCTGCGGGCTCCTAGAGTCAATGTTACATTTATAGCCTCTTCCAGCAGCAATTCTGAAATTTATACTTCTTGTATTTTCTTGTGCGGCATTTAGAGGAACAGAAAATTGATTATTTGTTCCTAATATATTCCTAAGGAAGGCAGTTAGAAAAATCTCATGAAATTTGGCATTTTGAAGTAAGACCAAATATTGGTTTTGGAGGTGTCACCCAAAGGCCATACAGACTGTCTTTAATGAATGAACAAGGAACCACTGACCATGTGAGTGAGGGAAGCACAGACCAACTGAACAGTCAATTTATCCATGTGGGCAAAGGAACCTAAGAGTGACACAGAGTGTTCTCTGCAATACACACCCAGACACCAAGGAAGTGTGTGTCCCTTACATGAACTGCAAAGGGAAAAGCCTGTCCAGTCTCATTTGACACACAGTATGCACACCAACAGGATGAACATGCATATGTGCTATCACCCGAAGCAAGAAATTAGAACTGCTGACACGATTAGGTGTTTTTCCAGTAAGCAAACACAACTGCACAAACTGCAGGCACAAGTGGTTTTCTTCTTCATTAGTAACAAAAATTAATTCTTTCAATTCAATGTAAGCCAAATATTTATAGAATTCTGTAAGCCATACTGCAATAGTTTCATTACCTCTGAAGCCTCTGCACAAGGTGTGACACCATGGTATCTGCAATGCCTGGACAAGCCTCTTCAGCTAAATAAACTGCCTTCCTCAGTTCTTCTATGGAATCTGTGTTACCACCACAAACCTCACTCTTCTCTTTCAACTGAAAGGAAACCAGGAAGAAATATATTAATGAAATACTAATAAATATTTCTATACACAATATAATGCAGAAGCTTGTTAGGAGTGACCATCAGTGTTCACAATGTCAGCATTTGACTTTCATCATAGACCCTCACATACTGAAGACTTTTTTCAAGCAGAAGTTTGTCTTTACAGTACTTATCAGGATGTCATTCATCTTCACATATCCTTTTCAGCATGCTCACAGCCAAAAATGACAACAAAGTATCCCAAGGGAAAAAAAGCAGTATTTACCCATAGCTGTCTGGTTTCAAGATGTGCTTCCTATACTTCAGTATCCATACTTGCACACCTATAGTTTATACATATACACTGCAGTAATTTTATCAACTTTTAAAAATAATCATATCTTCATAAATTCTTCTCTTATCCTTCATATATTCTTTTTCAAAGTTGTTTTTAAGTATTTGGGGGGAGAGTATAAAAATATAAAACTCAGAATGGGAACAAAATACAGTTTTCAACCCTGAAATTCAAAAGTTAAATTCTTTATGATCTGGTCTACAACTGTATCTTGGAACAGATCTTGAGCTTGAAATTTGTAATAAGATAAATACATAAAGTAGTGTCAAAAATAGAATGCTGCAATCCAAACATTGACACACCTTTTTCTTGTCACGTTCATTGCTTTAGGCCAGCATGGCTGATGTTACTACCATGCATATCAAGTATTGTTAGGAACAGATCTCAGAAGCAGACATACTAAAGGCACAGCTAAAACTTAACACAGCAAGTTCAAAATGGGTAGTAGCAAACTTAGGTATCATTCATTATATTTTTCAATTTTTTTTCAGATAAACCTTGGAATTGTTAAGTTTTAAAGCAATAACTTACCTCTGCAAATAAAGGGGATATAATTGTAGACAGGCATTGGGATAGAGGCCTCTTTGGGATATCCTTTTCCTTTAAAGAAAAAAAAAAATCTGACCAATTTTATTTTTGAAAAAAAGAATCCTCATTGTATGCTAATAAAGACAAAATGTAGTTCCAACATGCTACACTTTATGAAAGCTCTGTTTCCATATAAGGAAAATGTTCTACAACATACTATTCCAAAGCACTGTGGAAAATAGAGGCTGAATTAAAATTTGAGACTGCAGCACCTCAAATACACGCAAGCTCAAAATTAGAAGGGAAAAAAAAAAAACAAACCACAAACCAAAACCACCGAACTCCCACAATCCTACTGAGCATTAACAAGTCATAGACATGCTGATATTTACTAGGTTCATCCTGGATGATACAATATTTTTCTTATATTTCTCCTTAATTTTCAGAGCCAGCACAGCATCAACCTGCTCTGGCCACACAGCTTGCAGAAAATACAATGGAGCAGTTCCTAGACATCCCTTATCCTGGGTTGTTTGAGTTTGGTGGGTTTTTTTTGGTGGGGTTTTTTTTTTTTTTGGACACAGGCACATTTTGTTCTTTGTTACATTGTACTCTTTTTCCTTAAAAGACCAAAATGCCTTCTCCAAAACTCTAGCCTAGATTTGCAATGTACTGGTTTTACTTTACTATACAGAACGAGATTTTGAAAATACAATATTGCCTGGTCTTCCTCCAGTGGTTTTATTCCAAACTAGAGAAATATTTTGGTACGTATTTTGTCAACTACAAAAAAGGACACATTAACAGAATGCCCAAAATTCAAGGCTTACTCAGAAAGTTTTGTGAAAGGCAACTGCAGAAAACATATTTTTAGCAAAAGTACTGGAAGTTTCACAATATAAATATTTTTAAAGGCATAAAATAAAATCACCCCACTAAATTATTAAAGCAGAATTATCTCCTTGTACTATGAAGTCAATATTTTGAGCACCTTATTTCTTTGCAACTCCAAAGGCTGGGCTGCTCCATTCTCTAGATTCTTGGGGTCTTTTTCTCTTATTGTAAAGATCCACTCTTCTGTGTCACTCCCACCTGAAGCCTGACCATCTGCTTCACTTCAAGGGAAAGGAAAAAAATAAATCAATTTTTATTACCTACACCTTACTGCTGATGTTCATTAAATGTACACACTAAATATAAAAACTCAGTAAAGACCAAGATCAGGATTCTATTGTGCAGGCCACTACATATAAAGACAAGTATGAAAATTAAGGTAATTTTTTTTTGGGTAAATTAAAAATTTAAACCAAGATACTTCCCAGATTTAAGGAAGTGAAGCATTACAGATTGAAAACATTTTCCCAAGTCATATTAACAAGTTAAATGAAGTGTTTTATTACTATCTGAAAACTGGCTTTAGCAGAGAACCTCAACTCATCAGGAAAAGGGGATAAAACTAGAAAACTAAATTCACTTTTCTTGCCTAGAAAATTAGCTAAGACACTGGAACTGTGGTCACTGGAAGGCATGAAGCCATTAATACTGTAAAGAAATAAACAGCTGTAATGTCACCCAAGAAATAACCTGATGCTTGCCATTAGCATGCAGCCTGGAACGGCGGCGAATAGTTGTGTTTTCTTTACTATGAGGTATTTAATCCATTTGTGAAGAAGCTGTGGCAATCTCTTCACCTGAATCTTATTTGCACAGTGTTACTTGGCTGTGCAGTTTAAGACCTTCTGCCTGCAGAACAGCTGGGCTCATGTCTAGGAAGAACCCTGGACCCTACATAAAAGAGAAGGTAGCATAGAATATGGGCCAGGAGAGATTTTCCTCAGTGACTGTTACTTGCATGAAATCCCTGCCAATACTAAAATTGAGATTGCATTCATTTAACAAGGCCACTAAGCTGAAAATCTGCAAATAACTGAATACAGCAATACATGTGGCTAAAAATAACTCCTTGGCTCCTAAAGGAGGATATTTTATAAACTCCTCAAACTTACGTATCCGAGTCATCAGAACTGGAGTCGTCATGACTTTGCTCAGACTTCCATCTCTTATGCCTGTCAATGAGGTCAGCCAAGTAAGATGTTTTCTTGGAGTTTCGTAAAATGAACTTGTGTTTTAAAAGCTCTTTTGCAGTAGGTCTCTTAAAAGAAAAAAAGAGACAGTGGGGTTTTTTTTTACCATGTTGAAGTATTGAGTGACTCACTACAAAAACAAAGAAATCCAGAGTTTAGTCTTGATACAAATGAGATTTTAAATATATACAGTATCTAAAAATATACCTGTCACTTATGTCAAACCATATTAGAGAGGGTGAATGACACTTACTCATGCAATCCATGTAAAGCAGTCAAGTTCTCTACTACACACTGACAAACATGAAACTCACAAAGCTTGGGTCCTTGTTTAAGCAGGCCTCGACAAATTCTTTGAGGGATTTACTGAAGTTTCCTTCCAGCGTTGGTGGATTGTTCTTAGGAATGAGGAACAAAACTTTCATTGGATGTAATTCTGAATGAGGTGGCTCTCCTTTTGCAAGTTCTATGGCTGTTATGCCTAATGACCAGATATCTGCCTGTAAGAAAGAATGCTTTTAAGATTAGGTTGGAGAAAGAGAAGAAACGTTGGCTTGCTGCTCTAGTTTAACCAGCAACACACATCTGCTTGCTCACACCGTCCCCTGGTGGAATGGGGGAGGAAGAGAATTTGAAGGGTAATGGGAGAAAACTTGTGGGTTATGAACAGTTTAATAATTGAAATAAAATAACAATAATAATAAATTATAATGGAAAAGAAAATAGAGAGAACTAACACCCAAGAAAGGCAAGTGATGTAAGTGGAAACAGCTGTTCTCCTCCAACAGAAAGATGCTCAGCCAGTCCCTGAGCAGCAGGGACTTGCCCCTGGTTTTATTGCTGAGCATGAGGCCATATGGTGTGGAATATCCCTCTGGTCAGCCGGGATCAACTGTCCCGGCTGAGTCCCCTCCCAGCTCCCTGTGCACCCCCAGCCTGGTGGGTGAAAAGCAGGAGAGGCTTTGACTTTGTGCAGGGGCTGCTCAGCAATCAGGAAAACATCCCTGAGTTATCAACACTTGCAGCACACACCCAAAACACAGCCACATACCAGATACCGTGAAGAAAATTAATTTTACCCCAGTCACAACCATCACACTTGTAAAGGTAGATTTTAAAGCTTTACTGTAAATAACTTCATGTGTAAATTGGTTTTGTTACCATTGTTTTATGTGATTAGCCTCATAGCCCAAGTAAACAGAGTTTCTTGGTTGCCTCCACTCTTCAGTACAAAACAGTTTTACTAAATAGAGTTTAAATTTTTTGAAATCAATACTACTACACCAAAAGCAATGCCAGAGTTGTTATAAACTAGCATTTTATCTACCATATTCAAGTACACTCTGTAAATATGGGGTAGGACTAAAATATTTACAGAAAGTATTTTAACTTGCACAAGATTTTTCCTCAACATAAATTAGCTCGTACAACCATCAGAAATTTAATACACGAGAATATAACTTCCCTGGAGTTTAACACTGGTTTTATTTATCATTCCTTTTCACAGACTAGAGAAATGCATTCTTGAACAGTAATATTCAGCTTTTTGGTCCAAGTAGCCTCTAAAAGTTTTCACCATCAAAATGTGCTACTCTTTCTAGGGAATGCTGTCTCCCTTGATACAAATCTTATTGCAAATCTGCCTGAAGTAATGTGAAGCAATGCATTGTAATTCTCTCATGTTTTGCTGAAATCACAGACCCAAAAGTCAAGAGAATGGATAATAAACCTGTCAGAAAGGTAAAAGAAAAAAATTTTCACAGAAATGTCTGTTCCAAGGACAAGATACCAATTAAAATATTTATGTTTGGTTTTTTCCTGTTTCTTTTTAAGTGAAAGCAGAACAAAGTCTTATTTGCAGGAAAACAGGAAAGATGTGACATAAGCTGTCTGGTTTTACTCCCAAACAGAGCAGTTGGAATTTTGATATGCTGTAAACAGATCTATTTCCAGGTGCTGGACAGAGCAGAGATTTCATTCATCACTGCTGTCTTTACAAAGTACCCCTGAACCCCACCTGTGTCATCCCTGTGGATTCTCATGGTTATCTTTGACAGACTTGTACACATCCATTCCACTATCACAGCCACAGTGCCTGGCCCAAAACAAGCTCCTCCTTCCTTGTTCAGACAGTATCCTACTGTTAAGAGCTTAGTTACTTAATTTTGCAAGTAAGAATGAAAAAAAAAAAAAATCAGAGTCAATTAGCATACCATTGAATTTATGAAATGCCATTTTGTTAGCCCATGTTACAGAACAGTTCCTGAGCACAAAGAATTACATAAGCACATGAGCCCTGAGTTTCATTTATCTTAATAAGAGCATTATCAGCTAAGCTCTCCTCAAGCCTAATTATGAGTAACTTCCCTCTAGCAGGAAAGCTTTTCTTGGTTACAAAAGAAAAATGTCACCTGTGAAGATGAGTCTTCATGTTAACAACTGATTATTATTATTTCCAATTTATTCAGAATTTCAGTTTCTCAAGAGTGAAGTGTTAAAGCCACATAAATGGATACTTTTCCTCTGCCAGACTTTCAGTCACAGGTGGAGAGTGAGTATATGAAGTATAAACATCAAATTTACATGTGTTTGAGTGCACAGACTTCCACCTGCACAGACATATATGTATAAATACTTCCTTTTTTCCTCATGTACTTATAACTCTACTGCTAGTGACCTTCCTCCACAAAAATGAACAAAAAAGTGCAACAAACCATGGCTGGTATAGTCATGTGCACTAGACTCTTTGAAGTCCCAGATGGGTTTTGGAAACCCATCATCAAAAATAACTAACCCCATATTCCTCTGGAACCATATCCTCCCCTTTCACAGATAAGAAAGGAAGTACCAATTGCACATGTACCCAATTAGGCATTTCTAGGATGGACTTGACTGTGACAGTGAAACCCCAGAACAAGCACAAATAGTTCTCCTCCAGATGTGGTGCCACTCCATTCACATGTTGTAATTTTTAAAGTTTCAAATCTTGAACAGAAATTCTCCTTCCAAGTTCAGATGACAGTCACCAACTCACTGGTAACTACTATTTACTGCAATACTGCCATAAGCCTTTCCTCTTCTAATCTAATGAGTAAAATTCAGTCTGGCTTTGAAGTTCTTGTAAGTCAAAGAAACAGGCTATGTGCAAAAGAAAGACACTTTCAAATTAAATATCTATTTTTTACAGTACAAGTTTTATAGTAGAAAGAACAGAGAACTAGATATATGAAAAATGAAGCATGTTAAGAAAACATGTTTTCAGATAAGACAGGAATCAAAACAGGAAGCAGAAGCACTGCCAAAACCTAGAGCCCTTTCAAGCTTTTATAGGGAATCCTCATCAAGTATCCAAGACACTTATGTCCATATGACACTGCAGACTGAAACAGCCAGAATGAAAAACCTAAGAGCTGAATCATACTTTGTCCAAGTGATGGTCACTCCCAGGAGCCAAACCTCAAAAAAACAAAAACCCCAACCCCAACCAACCAAAACCAAAACGAATAAACTAACTAAAAATCTCCCACAAAAACACACAAAGGGAAAAAACAACAACCACCATTCAAAAAATGTTTACTCAACTTTAAATTGGGATTTGGGGGTTATTTAAGCTTCTACAGGCTCTACAGTGTTTTGCTTGTTATAGCCTCTTTACAGAGAGATATCAAATAGGGAATTAAGCAATAGTACAGCCTAGATCAGAATCAGCCTTGGCAAATGGAAAGAAACATCCCAACATGTCCCATTGCATGGAGATACAGCCAATCAACAAATCCCTACAGGGAAATCAGAGGACATGAGCAAGGAAGATGAGCTCAGGGAAGAACATAAGGAAATACTGGTTATTATAATAAAGAAAGCTGATCTTAACACAAATTGGGCTTGAGGGTGACCTTTGTTTCAGACCAACAGCTGCAGCAGTGAGCTGGGCAAAGAGCCTTTCCTGATACATGGGTGTCCTGCTGAGCTAGCCCGGCCATGTGGGGCAGGGAGAAGGCAGGGGCAGCCAAGAGCTGTAGATGTACCTCAAACAAACAGAAGCATAAAAAACAAGTAAACAACACAAAGAACTTTGAAAAAAGCAATAGGCTTGAACTGGCTCTAATGGGCATATTCCTTTCTGGCAAGCAGGGACACACAGTGCCATACTGATGAGAATACAGAGAATAGTAATGGATTCACATTTCTATTGTGACCCAGCTATGTATTACAATTGCTATATTGTGCTTGTCTTGAGATTTCAGTATGCTGAGGTGCCACTCTCCTAGATCAAAATCCTGCATATAGATAAATTGGTATTTAATATTAACACCTCCCAAATGGCAAATCTGAAAGAACACGGTCAGAGCAGCACATTTTGCCAGAGATGAGTAACAGCCCTTTCAAACAACACTTTCACATCCAACCAAATCCATATTCTTCAACTGTGTTGCTGGCTATTTTTTTCTAAAAGCAAGAGGAAGAATATTAACAGTTTGAATATATTTGCACTCTTCCACTTTTTCTAAATATCTGCACTCTTCTACTTTTAAAACAGCCAAAAATACTCATCAATAGAGTGGGAAAAAAAGGTGATGAGATGCACTCGTGAATACTGTATCATTTCTTGCCATCTGGATTGTCTTAATAAACTAGAAAACTTAAACCTTAGATACAAATTAGGAAATCTTTCCTCACCAACAGCTTTTAGCTGCTAGGTGTCACCTGAACACATCCTCATGTAGACACAGCCAAAGTTATAAGCTGCATTCTCAAGACCAACCTATATAATTCGATTTAGAAAAAGGAAGGGACTTTAGTAATGCCTTGAAGTACCTCACCTTTGAATCATATGCTGATTGCTTTATTACTTCAGGTGCCATCCAAAATGGTGTTCCCACAAAGGTATTTCTCTTTATCTGTGTATCTGTTAGCTGCCCAGCTACTCCAAAATCTGCCAGTTTTACTTCCCCTTGTTCTGACAGCAATACATTAGCAGCTGCAATAAAGAAGAAGAAATACCAGAAATTAAGATATCTGACACCATTTGACAATGTAAGGGTACTCATACAGGTTTGCATGAGTTCTTCTGATATTCATCACAATAAAACAATTTACCTTTAATATCTCTGTGGATTTTCTTCTCAGAATGCAAGTAGTCGAGTCCTTTGAGTATCTCCCTCAATATTGTAGCAATCTGAGTTTCATCAAGTGAGCCAGGCTCTAACTAGGAGATGCAAGAAATGTTTAAATATGTATTAAAAAAGGACAAACAGAAATAACACTGTGACTACAAAAAGAAATTACTCCTTCTGTCAGCCCTCAAAACTTCCAATTTTCTAACTTCATAATGTGAGACAAAACAAAATACTCTTTTTTAAAACACATAGTTCTAAACTAAATGGCTTAATGAACAACAGGCAAAGAAATAATTTATTTTAAATATTACGTAAAATTTGTTAGAGGTGCCATAAAGACAGAGCCTTGAGTTTCTGCTTTGTGGTCAGGTATGGTGGTCAGATATACTAACCTTTGAAAAGCATCTGATTGTTAACATTACTCTGAACTTAGATGTGCAACTCCACAGACCCTATGTGGACCCAGATCTCAAAGCCTGAGCAAGAAGCTAAGACATTCAAGGTACTACATCCATCAGTCTGTGACTACGTACTGCACTGGACTTTGAGAAATTCTCTAAAACTCAATTCAAACTGACAGGCTGAAAGAACATTGCCTTTAAAGCATTAACTTTTTTCAAGTAATACTGGAAATATAAATCTGCTAATTGTTAAAAGATTCCAAGTAATTTTTCTTATGAGAAGAATCGGTAACGTTATATGATCCCAAAGTTCTTTACATGTGATATGAATTCTAAAATTGAGAATAACAGAGGAAAGGTCACTACCCAGAGAGACAATAAGGGCATCTTAAACCCTGTCCTTAAACAATAGAGGCATCTCCAGGGAGACACTGAAACTTTGTGTCCAACAGTTAATATTGGAAATATTCCACTATTCTAGTTTACTCCACAATAGCACTCACTGAATCACAATCAAAACGTTGTACCTCTAAAGCTTCATTCTCTGAGAAGGAAAGCATTTCAGATAAGGATTTTCAGATAAAAATTAAAAATAGTACAGCCCTCAGAAATCCTCATGCATAGCAACAGAGGTAATATTTCATGTAACAATGCATTTGCTTTATCTTTGCAGCTTTAGTTATAATCTTATTTGCTTTTCCTTAGTTCTGATAATACACACAATATTACCACTGAAACCCACTAAGACATTCTCAAAGCTTTGCTCCAGCCAGGCTGTAAGCACCAGTTTGAGACTTGGTAACATGTCACAGCACATCTAATGGGGGAAAACCTCCTATGTCAGCTTCAGCTCACCTTAGTGAGGAGGAATTACTGAAAACAGAGTAAATCTGAGAAGACTGGCACTTGTACCTTGGTCACAAACTTGAACTATACTCAAAGTTTGACCAAAAATGTACATGCAGTTGCATAATATGTATTTTTTCTTGTGAGGCAGGATTTTGAAATCATCCAGTGCATATTCAAGTACAGAAAACACCAAGCTAGAATGACATGTCTGCACTCGGAACATAAAATTGAAGGATCTCAGTAATCCTTGCCTCGACTATGAAAATGTGGCAAAACATGCCAGGTTCTAGTTGAGAACCATAATGTGCATGTTAGAACTAGGAGAACATACACCAGAACATAAACTGAAAATTAATGAAGCACACAAAAGGTGCTTAATAGACACTTACAGGATGATTTCATTTCTGGGGTGAAATTTCTTCAATAGCATTTTAAGATGTGAACAAGTACTTTCTACTATTTCTATGCATCAAACTTAGAGAATAAACACATAATCATCACACAAGTGAAATTTGTGAGATTTTAAAAGAAGAAGAAAATATGGTAACATGTTTTCATTCTGCTCTTTTATACCTATACAAAGAAAGTAATAGCTAATTTATAAAAGCAAACCTAATTTCTAGTTGCTCTTCTGTCTAGAAGAAAAAAGTGATCACAACAATAAATACACATTTTTTATCACATCTTTTTGGAGAACTTCATAAATTTTTACACAACCACAGAACTCCTAACAGATGTGGAAGCTAAAGATATAAATGGGTTCAAAAATACACAACTGCAAGAAGCCCACATTTAATACCCACTCCTGTGCTCTGGATGTCACCAGCAGAATCCTTTTACTGTGACCTTGTTCCTTTTGCTATTTCCTCAAGCATTTATCAGTTATCCTATCTGACAACTGCAAACTCTGCTACAAAGACATTCTGCCTCAGTTTGGATAACAATTTTCACATACTTAAAACATGCATTATTATTTCTCTAACAGTGTTTTTTAAATCCACAGTGAACATAAGGAGGTGTGTCATTTGGGAGGGGGCTTGGGTGCTTTTTAATAGCTGAAGTGAATGTCAGCATCCAGTTACAGAAAACATGATCTGCACTGACCCCTTTGAATTCCAATTCAAACCTGGCAACTCCATCCCAGGTGCAGAATGAGGCCCTTGCTCCTGTTAAATTTCATACCCTTGATGACTGCACAGCACTTTGGTCCATCCAGGGCTACCTGCAAGACCCCTATACCCTCCATGGAGTCCAGAGCTTCTTCTATTTCTTTGAAATATTATTTTTAATACCAGCCTAAATTCTATTTCTGTCTGTTTAGGCTTCAGAAAGACCTCAAACAAGGAACCTTTTGTTTATTTGTTTGGGGGAGGGGGTGGTGAAGAAGATACATTAAAATGTATAAACTTGTATAAGAGTTGTAGTGGCAGAATTAAGAGATACAAAAAACTATTTTCAGGCACTAGTGCTCTCTGGCTGACTGAAGATTACCATTCTAAGATGTTTATATCCTGCTTCCAATATTATGTTGCTTAGTTCCCTTCTATTTACACAAATAATCAGTCATGCCTCATGGAAAATAACATTTTTCAGGCATTGACAAATACTTTTATCCTTTTCTGAAAGTGAACATTGCCACAGCCAAGTGATCTATTATAGTTTCCAGAATTATAAGATAGGAATATAATTATGTGGAATAAAGTAACAAAAAACCATGCATAATTTACTTACTAGATCAAGGGCAGAGCCTCCACCTAGATATTCCATTATTATCCATAATTTGGTATCCTGTAAAATAAAAAACCAAAAAATGTATTAAGGTTAAAAAAAAAAAGAAAAAAAGAAGTAACTTAAATTAATGTGACTTGTCCCATTCTTTTTGATGAAGAAATTATCTGTAGTTTTGAAACACCACTAACATTTAGTTGTTCTTCAAAAATATCTCTGGATTATTTACTCAAGAGTGTGTGCATGGAGGAGAATGCATTTTAATTTTAAAATTCCAATTATGGAATTTTAAAAAATCCATAATTCCAAATTTCAATGATTCCAAATATCAAATAGTGTTACATATAACATATTTCCTTTCCTTAGAAAATATTATCTCGATTTTGTTGATCATCTTTATTTGTGCAGATACCTCTAAACAGTTTCTTTAGTAAGCTTGACTCCTGTCTAGTTTCAATTGAAATAGAATTTATTCTTCATTTTTTTGCACTGTTTCATTTTCTTGAACAGTCAAGTAGGTTTTTCTCCACTAATGCTTATGCATCTGATATATTGTATAGAATTTTTGCACAGTTTTGTTCAAGAAAGAAGAAGCAAAGTAGTAATGAAGACTGTTTAAAATGACTATAACAACTTACTAGATTCAGATACTAAAAGAAAAGCTAACAACAACATCAAGCTACTATATTCATAAAGAAAACCTTGGTACATGTTACAAGACTGTTTAACACAAGATATACAATGCAGTGTGCTAAGAAAGAGACTGGAGGCAATCATTTCTTTCCAATGTTTGCAGCATCTTTTTCCCAAATACACTAATGAGAAGCAGTTAGTTCAGCTTTTCCTTACAGTACCAGCCTTAAAACACACAACAAAGCAAAGCCACAAATCTACTTCGTAGTTATTCAAATGAAATTGCTGCACAAAACACACTGGTGGTTTAGTTTTTATGATTATCAAGTTATTTTACACTCTGTTAGTTAGTTTCACCTCTATGGTATGTACCAAACTTTCACAAGACCTCTAGCATAATAATATAGATATCTCTCAGAGCAAGGAGCACATAAATAGCAACAATATTCATTTACTTTATCCAACAGAATAAAACTTCATGTAAAAATAATGGCACATAGCCAGGACACCTGACTGAATTCTCATCTGTAAGGATGGATTCAAATTTTTAGAGAAGTGGTAAATGTATTGCAGGACATAACTTCATCTAAATCCTCTGAAGGATTAAAATTTTAGTCCTTAGGACTCACTTAAGTCTTTTAGTGATTATTATATCTATAGTTCACTGCATCCACCCCCTCTCTGGACTCCTGCTGTAGGTAAATGTGCATTTTTCCTACCCCCAGTTACACATACCGTACTATTTTTAGATAAGACCCTGGATTAGGGTTCCTTCTTCATCCACTATTTTTAACACAGAGCTTCAGCTAAATTTAGGTACCTTTCTTCAGGAATCAACTCATCAACTCATCAACACAGTCTTGTTAAAAACATTTCAAGAGAGCCAGAACACGTATTTTAGAAGGAAAGAGTAATTTAAAAATATAATCTATCTCAGTACTGAGAGACAACATCCCGATAGTGCTTACTTTCTTGCAGACACCACAAATATTCCAAGAACTGTAACTCATCTTGATAGAGTCTCTTACAGTACTGAAATACTTGTTTTTCTGCCAAAACTTTTACATGTTTTTCCTGTCCCTTCAAGGCTCCAGGTCTTAGCAGCTCCAGAATAAGAACATTACTGAGATGTGTCTTATAGTGAGTCATCCTAAACTTGATCAAAATTTTATATTTATATTTTGCGGATAAAATGTGTTTCAAAGCTACATGAAATTTCCTGAATATTCAAAACTCACATTTCATTTTAATAGTAACTTAAACACATGAAGTCGACTGTATCACTACTTCCTAGTCCACTGGAAGTGCCTGGCTGGGAAAGAACAAGGTAAAGGAAGCAAGCAAACCCCTGACCCTTTTCAAAAACAATGAAGAAAAGAAGAGAAAAAGAAAAAAAAAATGGGAAAAACCCCCAAACATCCACAACACCTCACAGAGATGTCAACATGAGTTGTGTCTTCCCTTTTCTATTATCTCAAGGATTGAAAGAGTTAACAACTCAAGATATAATTTCCCAAAAGAGAAACTCTCTAGAATGCTAGGTACCAAATTCTCCAGCTGAAAACTAGAAATTAGAAGTAGAAAATAACTCACATAAATATTTAAGAATATAATTTTAATTACACAGTTGCACAACTGTATTACACAATTACACTACTACATGTTATACTACTTATAGTTGTAGCAAACCTTATGGAGCTTGGGAAAGCTCCATGGAGGATTGAGGCTTAACAGTAGGAACTGCTGAGTCATGATGAGACAGCAAAATAAGTTCCTGTCTCTGACCCCCCGCCCCAAAGCTTATCTCTGTAAACCCATAGGTCACTTTTCCCTAGCCCCCACTATTGGACAAGTTTAGATCCCCCTTACCCTATAAAAGGGCTGTTTTAGCTCATTTGACAGAAGAAGAGTTGTCACCGAGACCCTTCACAGACTTCCTCATAAACCATCGCTGTAGAACCACCAGGACCTCCTTCTCCTCTCTCACGTCTGTTGCTACCTAGCAAGCAAAGAGCTGAGATCCTAAGAGAGCTTGCAATCTCTAAAGAGCTGACAATCACTAAGCTTGCTAAAGCGTAACCCGCAGCGATGGCCACGAGCTAACTGGGCTTTCAGGCACTCTGTCTCTCTGAGGGATTGGGCTCCCGGACTGTCCTGCACCGCTCGATAATAAAGCCAAGATCGAGCTTTATTATACATAGTCTTTTAAAATCATCATTTATCATTTTAATTGTTTTTCTAGTTCAACTAGTCTTTGCTCTCGAAACTTTCATCATCAGGTGCCTGAGGCTACATGTCTGAATTTACAATACAAAAGCCATTGATCCGCTAAACTCAGTAATTCTACATTTTAAAACAAATGAAGTATGGAAATACAGTTAAGAAACACACACAAACACATAACTGTATCTGTATCCCAGTGTAAAGCTAAGTAATAGCAATCTATTACAATTATGCCATCTTTTTATCTGGATCCCTATATTCAAAGTTATTTTTAATTCTCTATGGTTCCCCCTTGCCTCAGAAATATTCCTCAACTTCATTGATGGTTTTAGGTTTTTATTTTCAAAGTTTCCATCATTCATATGAAGTACCTGAACAGATTCATATGTTGTACTCAAACAAATTTAATTGCTATGGTAGCAAATCTTACTATCACCTTTCCTTATTTCTTTTTGGAATTTTTTTAAGCTTTCTTATATAAAACCTACATATATTGCCTGACAAGAAGATGCAAATAAATCCTTTTGCTAAGACAGCTGTAATGAATTTCTCAATATGTATTTCATTTTAGAGCCAACAACTACATATACTGACTTTATGTCTGTGGGGGCTTGGATGCTAGGTAGCACTCTGTCACTCCCTTCCTCACTGGTTATGGGACAGAGAATAAAGCAAAAGGCTCATGGGCTGAGGTAAGGACAGGGAGAGAACAATCTCCAGTTGCCCTCATGGGCAAAGCAGATAAAAAATGGGGATATCAGTTCCATTTATTACTAATCAAAGCAGAGTAGTATAATGAAAAATAAAACCAAACCGTAAAACCCATTTGTCCTGGCCCCTTCTCCCTGGGCTTGAACCTCACTTCCAAATTTCTCCATCTCCTCCCCCCAGAGGAACTGGGGATGGGGAATGGGGATCATGGTCAGTTCATCACATGTCTCTGCCACTCCTTTCTCCTCAGAGGGAGGGCTCCTCACACTCCTCCTTGCTCCCAAAGGAGACAGTCCTCCATGGACTTCTCCAATGTGAATCCTTCCCACAGGCTGCACTATTTCATTAACTGCTCCAGTGTGGGTCTTTTCCATGGGATGCAGTCCTTAGGGAACAGCTGTGGGTGTCCCACAGTGTCCTAAGTCCTGTCAAACCTGCTCCAGAGTGAGCTTCCCACATGGTCCCAGTATTATTCAGGCACATCCACCCGTGTGGGTGGTGTGGGTGCCCCCCATGGGCTGCAGGTGGATCTCTGTGGTCCCACTGAACCTCCCTGGGCTGCAGGGGCACAGCTGCCTCACCATGGCCAACACCAGGGGCTGCAGGGGAATGTCAGCTCCAGCATTTGGAGCATCTTCCCCACACCCCTTCTCCACCGACCTTGGTGTTTGGTGTTCCTCTCACTTATTCTCACTCCTCTCTCCAGCTGCAGCTGTGCAGGTTTTTCCCCTCCCTTCTTAAATCTGTTATCCCAAAGGCACTACCACAGTCAGGGGCTCAGCCTGGGCCAGCAGCACACCCACCCTGGAGCCAGCTGGCAGTGGCTCTATAGGACGTGGGGAAAGCTTCCAGCAGCTTCTCACAGAAGCTGCCCCTGCGGCCCCCCAGTACCAAAACCTGGCCATGCAAACCAGAGATAATGCCTTGTAACAACAGCACAAGGCCAGCACAGAGCTACTATCAATTGACTTTGGCATCACCATAGCAACAGGCCTCCTTTCCTTCTTTTCTGAGTATCTCTGGCATGCCTTACATTCCCTAACACCTACTGTCACTTTCCTTTTTAAAGCTGCCCAAATTCTTTTTTTGCTTGAACTTCTCACCCTCTTCAGTATATATTCTCCTTTTGCTCTCAAACAGGACTCTGAAAGCACTATATTTTCTCCCATAGCCTAGATTAGTAATTATATATTACACATAATCACTCATACTTTCAAGAAGGTACTACATTTATATACTGACACTAGCAACATTCAGTGCTCCACTTTAAGATCTGAAACAAGAACAGTTTTCTTCTTCTAAGCATCAGCCACAACACAGCGTTGAATTTTCTTCAAAATAAAGTGAAGCCATGGTGAGTCATCCATCCAAATTTAGGATTATTATTTCTCTATAAAATTAGAAGCAGATTAATGAGGGCACATGGAATATTTCCTTTTTTTTGCAGCAAGAACAAGGGGTTTTCCTCTGATATTATGAAACTGGAGAAAGGA